TCATCAGGAGGGATTTCTGAGCTCATCAGGGATTTCTGAACTCATCAGGAATTTCTGAATTCAAAGATTTCTGAATCATCAGGGATTTCTGAATTCATCAGGGGAATTTCTGAATTCATCAGGAGGAATTTTTCCATACAGAACAAGCTCAGACATTGTTTCTCCCACACGAACTGGCTGATCCACGGCAGGGGAGCACCAACGGACAGGGGAGAGAGAATTCTGAATTTATCACGGATTTCTGAATTCATCAGGAGGAATTTCTGAGTTCATCAGGGATTTCTGAATTCAGAGATTTCTGAGCTCATCAGGAATTTCTGAGCTCATCAGGGATTTCTGAATTCATCAGGAGGAATTTCTGAATTCATCAGGAGGATTTCTGAGTTCATCAGGGATTTCTGAATTCAGGAATTTCTGAATTCATCAGGGATTTCTGAGCTCATCAGGAGGAATTTTTCCATACAAAACAAGCTCAGACATTGTTTCTCCCACACGAACTGGCTGATCCACGGCAGGGGAGCACCAACAGACTGGGGAGACAGAATTCTGAATTTATCAGGGATTTCTGAATTCATCAGGAGGAATTTCTGAATTCATCAGGAGGAATTTCTGAATTCATCAGGGATTTCTGAATTCATCAGAAGGAATTTCTGAATTCATCAGGAATTTCTGAGCTCATTAGGGATTTCTGAATCATCAGGGATTTCTGAATTCATCAGGAGGGATTTCTGAGCTCATTGGGGATTTCTGAATTCAGAGATTTCTGAATTCATCAGGGATTTCTGAGCTCATCAGGGATTTCTGAATTCATCAGGAGGAATTTCTGAATTCATCAGGGGAATTTCTGAATTCATCAGGGATTTCTGAATTCAGAGATTTCTGAGCTCATCAGGGATTTCTGAGCTCATCAGGGATTTCTGAGCTCATCAGGGATTTCTGAGCTCATCAGGAGGAATTTTTCCATACAGAACAAGCTCAGACATTGTTGCTCCCACACGAACTGGCTGATCCACGGCAGGG